GGACCAACCAGGTTCCGCCACGCGTCCTCCACGGACCACTTAAGACACGCCACGTGTCCACCCATGCCAAATGGGACAACCGGCCATCAAGGCCCATTTCAGTCTAGAAGCCCGATCGGCCCTAGGTTTACCTTAAACCTAGAGAGTTGCACGCTTCCCAAGGCTATAAATACTCGATTAATCCTCATTAATCAAGGGACCGAATAATTAACGGAACGGAGGAGAAACATTACGGAACACACTAATAACCGGCTGATCTCGCTAGCAAAGCAGATTACCTACATTAAATACTCTCACCTAGAGAGACCTTATTACTTTAATTTCTGTATTAATTACTCCTTAATCAGGTACTAACTTGACCGTTGGAGGCGGAGCTCTCAGGAGTCTCCGTTATTTTGCAGGTACAGGCGTCCGGTTCCAGTCTCGGAATTGTAGCTCTCCCGCAGGACATCAGAAAACCCCAAAACAAAATCGATTTCGGGTCGAGTTCAAATCGGGTTAAATAGGTGTCGAGTTACGTTCAAATCGGGTCAAATTCGGATCCGAATTGAGTTCAGTTCGGTTACAGATCAGGTTTGGGTCTTGAATTTCTCGGATCAAATCGGATCGATTACAGTCGAAATGGATGATTTTTTTCGGATCGGTTCTGTTTTGACACCTCTACTCCAGTGTACTTCAAATTTGAGTCATTCTAAATTATCCGGTTAAGTATTGTCGCATAGCTGCTATAACTCATAAGACGAAAGAGTGATGAATTATTATTTTTTTTTCCTTCTAGTGGTACAAATATTGTACCACTATTACCTATAATGACTATAAATAGTACTACTAAAACAACTTTTACTCTAGTAATATATAATACATGTATAATAGTATATTAAAAATACCATTGTAAGTATAATTGAGACATTAAAAATACCACTGTAACAAAAAAAAAAAACAAAAAAAAAATTAAGTAAATATAACAATTAACCCTGCCTAATAGCACTCAAATTATCCCACAGCCGTGCTTCAAAAATAGCATATGGATAAGAATAATAGTCGTACTAAAAGGAGTATCCAAATTTCTGAAAAAGTGGGGATCGTGCATCACATTGACATCGCCAAAAAGTGTCCAAGAAATTGACGTCAGCACTAAATTTCAGCCACAAAAATTTATGTGGCCTAGCTTTCACCCTTTTTGCTGACTCACTTGCACATCTGGCCTCTTTCTAGAGCTTTGCTGATTCATTCGGATAGTACTTCTATTAATTTACTACTCCGTATATTTATTTTTTCTTTTTCAAATCAATAATTTACACATTGAAAATTTCACCTCAATTTGTAGTGCTTAGGACATAATTTAATTTTCTCCGTCCCTTTTATTTTACTCCATATTCTATTAGAAAATGTCGTTAAAAAAATGTCTTGTTTTTATTTTTGATAATAAAGTTTATATCTTTGCTCTCACACCAAATACATTTTTCTCCATTATTTTTTTTTATCTCTTATCAATTTCACAAGTATAAAATGTCAACGAGGAAAACAATTGGTGACGGAGGGATTAAGCATGACCGAATTTTAATTATTGGATTGTGGATCACTTTGGTTTTGAGATTTGACTTCTACTGTATTTTATATTTTCTACAACTCTTTAAAACTAATATATCTGATAAAAATTGCAATTCATACATTAAACCTTGACCACATTTTTAATAAAAACGAGTATTTTATATAGAGTATAAAAAATGGGATAATGAAAGATGGTAGTTTCTTAAATTTTATTTGAAATTGTATTAACTCATCAAAACTTATTTATTCTGTAATAAATCAAAATACATTAAACTTACAAAAAAAAAAAAAAAAAAAACTTTGTAACACATTTCCACCTCAGACTTTCTCAGTAGAAAAAATAACCAAGTGAGTTTGCCACCATAGACTTCCTCTGTTTGAAACTTAGAGACAGGCTGTTATTGTTTACAACAATAAAAAATTCTTTCACATCATATTCAAGATTCTTGACAAAATTACATTTAGTTGTTGGATTATAAATTCCAAAGATTGATATAAACCCATTATCCTGCTATTTTGATTTCTTTGGAAATCATATCTACTTTTGTCATAAGCTTGATTCAATTCTATGGTAAGTTTATCTTCCTTTCTCATTAATTATGCTTATGATTTTTACTTCACATGCTCTTTAACGATATACGGAGTACGGAGTTATGTATTAATTGTTTTATAGTATGATTAATTAAAAAAAAAAATTTGGGTTGTGATGAATGATTTATGTTTATAAGATATTTGTAATTATAAATTTGGAGTTTTTCTTTATTGATATAACTTAAGAAGTTAATCTCAAAGTTGACAATGTTTGATTGTGAATACCTATGATTTTTTTTTTTTTTTTTTTTTGAATATTATGAATTTTAGTTTAGGGTGGTTTCTACTTTCTTTATTCACCGTCGAAATAGTGACGTTTAGCAGGGCTTATATGTTTAGTTGCTTGCTAAATGATATGTTCCTCGAAATTTTAATTCTTTTTTGGTTATTCCAAAATTCTGACTATATATTTTATACTTGAGGTATCATCTAAAATATGCACAACTATTGATAGTGAATTCTAAGCTTTAAGAGTTGCAGTCTCTAAATTGGATGAAAACCTGTTTTTTTTAGTACTAGTAAGATGGTAGAATTAATGAATTATTGGCTGTATACGAGCACGGCTCGTTTCAACGAACATAGTCTGATGACAGTGATCTGTTGTTAGAAACTAGCCTGTGAACTTGTGAAGTATCTTGCTTGCACATGGATGTCTTTGAAGTTGTTTGGCTTAACTTTGGTTACGATATACTCGTATATAACTAAAAGAGAAATGAATGATTGGAAAATAGTTACTTCTAGCTGTGTTCTGTTCCTTTGATCATTAAGGTTTTGTATCTCTGAAGCCTTGTGTTTGTAATTTTCTAGATTTCGAAGCCTTTTCCATATCAGGACTAGGCTTGCCATATCCATAAATGTCGCGTCTTCTGCTCATATCTGGTTCTCCCATTAGGAAGTAGAAGTACTAGTAAAACTAAATTTCAGCAAGAAGTGTATATTGATGGGTTTTATCTGTTGATTTTGTTTAAAATTTGAAGTTAATTTCTCTCTGAATTCAGAGATCTTTATAACAATTGCAGTGTGGTCTGAGTTGTATTTGACACGATATAATTGCTGCAGTTTGCTGACATTGCTCTCAAAGTCCTTGAACTTGTGCTCGTTTGTTACGTTTATTCGATGGTTTCCTCTGATCATTTCCAGAACCAGTAATTCGGTTTGTCAAGATGGTAATCCAGGATAAGGTATATATCATTTTTAGATTATAGCATTCTTCGAAGTTATAATGTTAAATACTTAAATACAAGTATATATCATGAGAAATGTTAATTGTTGCTCCGAATCCTATGCATAAGAAATTAGGAAGCATAGCAAAAGTATACATTTGATAACATTGAACAAAGCGTGATCGTCATAATTTTCCATGTAATATACGAAGTACATTATGCTCCGTATATGGTTATGGGTTTATATCATTTTATATCATAAGATGATCACTCTTGAACATCAGGTATCATCCCCTGGAACAATCAATATACCAGAAAACACCTTCACCAGTGAAAGTTCTGGCGATGAAAATGGAGTTTTAAGCTTAGAGTATCCAGAAATCACATCTTCTGCACGACAATATGCTGAAGCCGCAGACAAAAGTCCAGAGGCAAGCAAAGCTGCTAGCATGATAGAGCTTGATAAACCCGTGTCTTGCCCACGCTGCAACAGCATGGAAACAAAATTTTGCTACTTCAACAATAGCAATATAAACAAGTCTAGACACTTTTGTTGGAGTTGCCAAAGATACTGGACAATTGGAGGAGCTACAAAAAATCTTTCCATTCGATCAGGTCAATGCAAAGGTAAACATGCATCTTTGCATCCCCTACCTTTAACTACACCGTCTGATAAGCTAGCTTTTGAAGCGCCTGGAAAGCTTTCAGAAACATTTTCCATTGCCTGCAGAGAAAGAACTAGACTTGTTTCATCGAGTTGCTGTTTGATGAGAAACAACGAAGTTCAACATTCTATGCAGGGTCCTCCGGAAACTCCTTATCCTTCGAATCCTGATTGGAATGACAAAGCTTTGCTAGTTCCTTGGAACACTCCGACAATGGGATTGATTCCAGGGGTTTGCATTCCAAACTTTAGCAACAGTTCATCTCTGTCAAACTCTGCTGAAAATAGTGACTGTTCCGGGTATACTTCTCCATGTTTTAGGAAGCATTCAAGGGACCTAAATTCACAGGATGAAGAGTAATATGACAAGTGTCTAACAAAGACATTGAGAATAGTTATAGACCCTGAGGAGGCTGCAAAAAGTTCTATACGGAGTACATTGGGAATTAAATCTGGTAAAGCTGATAGCATTCGGAATGGGTATATGTTTAGAGCTTTTCAATTCCGGCCTGAAGAAAATGCTGAAACATTAGAAGTTGAGAGGGCATTGGAGGCAAATCCTGTAGCTCTTTCAAGATCACAGAGATACCGTGAAAGCACTTAAAAATATACTGTGATAGTGTGATTCTCAACTTGAGAATATTGACAGTAGTTCGTGAGTCCACATTCTATGTACTAACAATGTGACTCTTTTAAAGGCATGTCTGGATAATTGGAGGTAATGAATGGATAATGTGGTGGAAGTGATAGAGGAAGAAGTGGTGGACTTGTTACCCTTCAAACAAGGGTAGTAATACTCCACCACAGCACCACCTCGCAAGGTTAGATACATTATCTCTAATCTGATAATAATATTTCCCGCATCCCTTGCTCCTCCAACTACGACCACCTCATCCCATCTACCACCTTTTATTATACTCCATAATTTCCTTATTAAGTTATTAATACCCCTTTTCAAACATGCCTTTAGATTATCTGTTTGTCATGCTTCATTAATCGTCTCACTGTCAAAACAATTCACATTTTCTGTACAAGTAGTATTTTGAACCATATCTAATGTCTGGCGTATGCCTTAGCAAGTACTACAGTTTCACTGCACCGAGGTCTGAGCACTTGTTTGAATTTTAACAGTATTTCGGAACAAAGGCTGGTTGTTAAGTTTTTTCTCAACGCCTTTATGTTTCTCATCTATCATGGCGTATTAAGTTTTTAACTACTATGGAGTATTGAATTGTTGAGGGAAAACATTGTTCTTCCGTTTAGTCTACTCCTATTGATTAAATGTAAATTGTAATTAACATTATTATTCTATATGAAACTCAATATCTCTTTCCTTTGTAAGAAACTACAAAGATGATTCCAAATAAACCATAAGTGTTGATTATCCTTAAATAGATTAAGGAGATCAGTTACTCTAACTCTTCACTTAACCTCAAGAACCTATCTCAGCTCCCTAAACACTCTGACTTGAGTATCAACTGTGATGACTTACAACTTTATAAACCAGAAATTTCGGTTTTTTTTTTTTTTTTTTTTTTTTTTTTTTTTTTTTTTGTTCTTCCCTTTTTTAAAATTATTGTGTCGGACATGAGTATGTGGGTCTGAGTCGCATAATCGGTGATCCACATTTTGGATATGATGAGTGATTCTTGTCAGGCTGTCTGCCCAGCACACCACTAACCAACAAATACTGCAACAGATTGATCCTCAGTTTTACTGATGAGTTAGCAAAGCTCATTGCTTGAAAAAAAGGTGATAAATTTTAGAAAAGGAGGAAGGGGGATAAAAACAAGAACTACACAATACATTTAACTGCAAGCTTATAGAATTGCTGTCATGAATATTACGACATCCCTCCTCCACTCTTTACTTCCCGTCGTAACTCGTAAGTGGTAAATTATTCCTTTCACATTCCAGAAAATTGGCACTACAATATCTTCAGTTGCTAGATTACTAAATTTCTGTTCTAGATAGTATATACAGCATTACAGAAAATGATGTACAGAAAACCAGTATATATGCTTAGTCAGGATTCAGGAAGAACAAATAATGTTGAAGTTCAAGATGGATTCTCACTGAGAAGTGAAAACAGGAGATAAGGATCTGTCACTTGAACCATCTACTTGGCCCGATTCCTGAATCTGAGCTGCGAAGTGCAAATTCCAGAGTACATCTTCAATGGACGGTCTATCATTAGGGTCGTTTGAAAGTGACCTTATGCAGAGTTCCATCAGTGTCTTCACCGAATTGTCTGGACACTCTTTGTGTACTGCCGGATCCAAAATCTGTTTTCGGGCTATCTTGTCTGCCTTAATGCCAACTTCAAACTGCAGATAAAAACAAAGCATCCATAAATAGTGTTCTATAACATATATCATGGAAGAATCATAGGCTATGTTACTCAGACTTTTCATTTCACCTTTGAGTACTAAAGCTGGACCCTTCGACACATCACCATGGACAATTCTTTTTATTTGCTCTAAGTTACTTGGACTTGGACACTTGGACATGTACTCGTGTCCTTCAAAAGTACCGGAGTCCAAGTAACATAGAGCATAGGAAAAAGAAAAAACAAAGAACATAATCATTTATTTTGCAGAAATCAGAAACACTTACTAAATCTTTTACAACGGATATATCATTATCAGATGTAATTTCCCTTCCAGCAATGATTTCCAAGAGAATCACTCCAAAGTCGTAGACATCACTCTTTTCGTCTTGCTTCACTCTGCATGAATGCAAGAAATCAAAAAGGATAGAAAATGAAATATTATACAAACATAGGCAACACAAGGCTAAATATCGTGGCAAAATACTCTAACCATCTATGCTCCCATAGCACAGAATAACAATTTCTTGAGATGTGATGCTTTTTATTCATCAATTATTTTTTATGAATAAAAAAACAAAATCTGCAGATTTTGGTTGGGGAACAAATATTCATGCAGTAGTTGCATATGATTATCGGCCCAGTTTCTTTACCATAATGGCATAATCTAAAATGTGATGCCAGGCTGAAATTGGGTACTTACATTGCTTTACCATTTTCTTTGGATCCAGAGGATGGAAGCATATTGACCTAGAAGAATAATCATAGTGAATTATGTCAGACTATCAGCTCTAAGCCTAATTTCCTGTCAAAATGAAAGCTTGAGAGTTTAGACGCAATAAAGATAAACTTTGGGGTGATACCTTATCCATGTTTTCAGCTAACAAAGGCAGATTAAAGCTGTTTAGTTTCACATGAAGGCTATGATCCAATAAGACATTGGTTGTCTTGATGTTGTTTGAATACAAACCTGGCGTCATCCCTGTCTGGAGAAACTGAATACCTTTCGCAACTTCAACTGCAACAGTGATTCTCTTTGCCCAGGTAGGCTTTTGTCCTTAATGAATGACAAATTTAATGGAAATCAAGTGAGTGAGCAAGCAGATTTACCAGGCATCTTTGACAACATTAAGCATATTGTGTTAAAGTGATTACCAAAGATGAAATCTCTTAGGTTCCCATTTGTAACTAACTCGAACACAAGATATATTCTGCTAACAGTTGAGTCTTCTGTATTGTATTCAAAGCAATGGCCTAGAGCGCTGACCAAATTAATATGTCTAAGCTTTGATAACAGCTCTATGTCATGAGTGTAGGCTTGTGTTCCACGTCGTTTTCTCACTTTCAAGCATTGAATGGCAACAAGATTATCATTGGCAAGTATGCCCTTGTACACCTGATAATTCATCAAGGACATACTTGTGTCACTAAACAAAATAATGTTCACAAATTTACTCCTATTTACAAAGAATAACTGCAAATTATGCTTTTGTAGTAATACAATCTCAGAAACAACTCTGATATGAGAAACCATTTGATGAGGTCGAGAGATTCTTACCGGACCAGAAGAACCTTCCCTGATTAAATTTGATGCATCAAAGTTTTCTGTGGCCTCCTTAATCTCATCCAAGAGAAAGTTGCGATAAGCAGGAAGACCAAGGGGTCCCAGCTTTGCCATTTGACAGATCTCCCCTGCAACAATGAGTGAATAAAATTGTAGCTATCAGAATTGAGGTTCCCACCTTCCATTCAAAACTCAAATTCTTCACTGATCATTTTCTTATAGTATAGGATAATATTTATAATGACTGGTTCATTTTTGTCACACACATCACATTATCACCCTTTATAGCGGACGTTATGAGCCCAATGCATTTACAGCTTGTTTTCCAGGCAATTTGAATGTCTGGTAATAGTAATAATTTGTATCTATTTTTGCAAGGAAAGTCTCAACATTAATGTCTGCTATAGAACTCTATTCCCAATATCTTTCGGTATAAATTTGCATTACATCCCATTACTATGTATACTTCTGTAGTTGCTATTGAGTGGTAATACAAATTATGTAAACATACACTTTAGAGGTGAGAAACATTACCATAGACTTTCTTTGCATAATCACATATAAAATTTTTTACCATCAAAACCAACCAAACTGATCATTAGCACTCATTAAAGAAGAATTCTAAGCTCTTTGACAACAGAAAATCAGGTTTTAACTTCAAAGAAAGGTCAGCGACACATGCAGTGGTTTTCTTCTCAATGAAACAACTCATAACTATATAACTAAAGCAGCAATAAAGAAATTGCTTACTTGCATCCAAAAGCAGCTTCGAAGGGTACATCATTGTTGCCTTCTCAAGTATAACTCTTGTTTGAGGTTTTTTACAAGATTGTTTAGAGAATACAAGTCCAACACCCAACACCATAAGACCTGCAAGTGAAGTTGCTCCAACTATGCTCATGGCTACCACAACTTTAGACCCTTTTTCTTTCCCTTTGTGAGGCGAAATCTCCACTGCCAAAGCTTCATTATGACAAAATGCATATGGATGTTGCCTTTGTCTCCCATTCGACAAACAATTACCCCGGTAATGGACATTTCGACTCTTATTTCTTGATTTCAGACAAGCAGGCAAATCCCCAGTCAAGTAATTGAATGATAAATCCACAAAGTTCAGGTCTGCACCACAAGTCATATTCTGAAGAAGCATTCCATGAAACTTATTCCCAGCAATATTGACATAACCAATCGAAGGCAACGAAAGCAATGACGGCATAAACGGTTCAACAAACTCATTATATGAAACATCCAGCTTCTGAAGCTGATAAAAGGAGCTCATATTATCAGTAATACCAAACCTGAACTTATTCCTCCTTAGTACCAAAGTGACCATTTTATTATGCAAAGTAGGAAAAGTTGGTCCTAAAGAATTGTTCCCCAAATCAAGAACTTGCAAATTAGTCAGATTCCTAAGATCAGGAACTTCACCATTTATATTATTCATTGAAAGTTGAAGAATCCTTAAGCTTTCCAACCTTGATAATGAAGTGGGTAATGATTCATTTAATGAATTATTCTTTAAACTAAGAACAGTTAACTCAGAAAGTGATCCAATCCAAAAGGGTATTTCTCCAATAAACTCATTATGATCCAATACAACAGTTTGAAGATTTCTTAAACCCAACAATTCCACAGGAATAGTACCATTCAACTGATTTGAACTAAGATTTAACATTTCAAGAGAAGTTAAGTTACCTATACTTTGAGGGAGAGGACCCCTTAAACCTAAGGACACCAAAGATAGGACCTTTAAGCCTGGTAAAGCTGCAAGAGCACCAAATAGAGCTTCCATGGAAATATTACCTGAAACTGGAACAAACCCAATAAACCCTTGAGTATGAATTTGAGTAATGTTTTCTTCATAACATGCAATTGTAAGATATGGGCTTGGTTCAAAGCTGCAAATATCAATGTTTTGGTCTAAACTGTTTATGTTTAATGGGTAGTTTAGAATCTGGTGAATTGTGAAAAATGCCTGTAATTGTGATTGTGGCATCTGATTTGAGAAGTGGGTTTGTAGCAAAATCATGAAAAAGAGGAGCAAAAATGGAGACTTGAAAGGTTTTTCCATCTGAGCTCCCCAGGAAAGTTGGCAAAAAAATTCCAAACAGTTAAGACTTTCTAAGGTGTTTATGACAGGAATTTCTGTGGAGTGAACATAGTAAATTAAATTAGTAAGGGAATACTAGGACAATTTTACATTGACCGTTGTCTGCCGAGGGATAACGACTCTAACACTGTGATTCACAATCGTCGTATTAAACAAAAAAAAATTCTCAAATATTGAAATAGTAAATAGTAGTAACTGGTAAATAGTACAGGCCTACGGGGTAAGACTTAACGCTTAGGATCAATCAAACATTTTTCGACTTGGGGACTTATTAGATTGGAATACCATTAGGCATTAGTGCAGTAATAAATAATGAAGGGGTGCAGAAAAATGCAGCGATGCAAAGGAGAAATGAAATGAGCAAAGACATTTGTTTGTGCATGTGTCAGAAAATGGCAACTTTTACTGTCAAAAATGTGAATCCAGCAAAACCACTTGCTAAAATGTGGTTGTGGAGGGAAAATTGTTGATCAAATAATGTTATTTTATTTGGTTGTGTAGATATAAACAAAAGGATAAAGTCATTTTCACCTTTCTAATGTGCTTTTTTGTTTTCTTTGGCGGCAACGCCCGTTTCTGATAGTTCACGGGGTTAATAGTGCACACTAACTGCTCTGTTTCCGATGCAAATATCATAAATTATTTGTTGTCATTTGTGAATTTAAGCTAAGATACAAATGTAATGAAAGCATTTTAGCATTGTAAATTTGCAAATGTTATATAGTCACATCACTCACAATGTGATGGAAAACTAAGTTTGTTTGGTCTTTTATGATTTTGTAAAATTGAACCAATTTGAATGATTCAAAGATTTTGTTCTACTCAAAAAACATGGACAATATCATGGTACCCGTTATTTAATTTCATTAATTTTAAATTAAAATAGTTTTTATGAAAAGAGAAAGAAGATAAATAACTCTCCTGTCAAAAAAAAAAAAATAAAAAAAAAGAAGATAAATAACTCTTAATCTTCTTAGGTCTTCGTTTCTTTTCCTAATACAAATTTGGTTTATATTATTTTTATGTCGCATATATGTTTTTTGATTTTATATTTAAATTGATATTATTGGATGTTGCGGGATTGTAAATGTTAGGCTTTAAATTGGGTCTTTAGATTGTAAAGACATTCAAATGTAAGGTTGGACCCAATTTTAGAACCTATGTGAATTTTTAAAAAATGGAGGAGGAGGAGGAGAGAGAGACATTACTTAAAAGCCTTAAATCCACCATTATGGAGAGAGAGCTAGCTAATGAGGTTGAATTGAAGAGGGAAAAAAAAATGAAACTACTAATAGAGTTAGTTTTTCCATCTAAATTAATGATGTTTTGCATGTTTAGAATAAAGTAGTATATAAATAGTGAAAAAAAGTTAAACCGTGTCAATAAATTAAAACGGGGACATTTTCTAAGCTCTTCCCTTAATCATATAATATATGTGATTAGTATGTTATTCACATGGAGCTACTTTTTCTCTGTAATTTATTAAGCCAAAAAGAAGTTGTCCAAATAATAGTAAACCTTAGTTAATTACCTTTAACCTAGTTAATTTCATATCTAAAAAGATAAACTAATTAGTTCATATCATATTTGGAAAAATAAATTTGGACCATACTTTATTGCTATATGTGTGAATTTTTATTGTTAAATATCTTTAATTTTAGTTGGAATTTTTTTTTATAAAATAACATATTTGTTAAATACTCATCAATACAAGTCTAATAAGATCCAATTTGATACAATATTTCCCTACGACTTAATATACATATAAAGTTAAAGTTTGGTTAAATCAAACAACCAATTCATAAAAATTTAAAATTTAGATTAGATCAGAGGTGAACTAAAAGTCTAAATGGAAACCGGTAAGGTCATGTTCACTTTAGCTTTAAAAAATATATATTAAGTTAATAATATCAGTTTAATAAATATAATTTCAGTTTAGTAAAAGATTAGAAACTTTAAAATAAGAAACATAATAAAGGTTCGGTAAAGTAAGCTCAGTAAAAATAATTTTAGTTCAGCAAAGATAAGGTAAAGTGAACAAGACCTAAATATTAGGTATCTTTGTTATAATGAGACGAGATTAGACAAAAACTTAGAAGATACCTATGAACATATCAGAAATTCAGAATACCTTGCAATATAAGAGAACTAAGTTTGACTTGCTCTAAACTCAGATTTTACATAAAATTTAATAATCTGATCTTGATCCAAACGAATTTGGATGCATGCAAAAATATGACTGAATTCGATTTATATCTGTTATAAACTAATTTACAACATAACAAATATGAAACTCCACCAACATAACCTCAATGACTCATCACACAAAAACAATAAGAAACTTGTTTGCAACCTCTTAGAAGTTCACACTACATAAACTAGTTTTGTCTTTATTTATTTTATTTGTTTTCAGGAAAAACTAGTGACATTACTAAAGTTCAACAAAAACAATAATAGAGCACTTTAGAGTTGCAAAATGCCAACCTAAAAACGTACTAGCTAAGAAAACCAAATAAACAATTGGCCCTAATCCAATTTAGTTCACGGACCTTACATTATTGATTAGAGATATTTTATCTTTTCTTATATAGTGTTGAAGATAATATTGGTCCTAATCCCTTTAAGAAATTAAATTCAAAAAAGAAATGGCCCTATATTACAGTATTAGAGATAATAGATTGGAAAATTGGTTAGTATTCTTAGGGGGGTGTTTAGTATGACTAATGGAAATTGAGTGGAACTGAAACAAATAAGTGAGAGGAAAAGAATCATTTAACTCTTACCTTTTCATTTGTTTGGTTTAGTCATGGAAAGGAATCACTTAAACTTATTTTCCTTTATTCTTGTTTAAGGAGGGTAAGGGTAATTGTTACATTAGGTTTTAGAGAAGTAACACATGCATGGGTGATGCATATTTACACAACTATTTTGAGGTTCTTGAATAAAAGAAACAATCTTTAAACCTTTCATAGATTTTGATATGTTTATTTACGAATATGGTGGTATGTATTCGTTTTTCTTGAGGAAAAACGAGTTAAAGAATTTTTGTGACACAATGATAGAACTCTTTAGGCTCGGTTGAGCTAGAGCGATACTTGAAGGCTCGGTTCAAGAATCAATGTTTAGCACAACGGCAAGGTTTAACAAACCATAAACACAAGCTAAGCTCACGTTTTTCATATGATAATCAAAACTCAAATCTGATTTTTATTAATTCTTAACCACGTATTTATAAGCTAAATCGCCTAAAATCATGTAGAACATAATCTAATCTAACTAGGAAACTTATCCTAACTTGTAAAGATAATATTTTGCAAATATAGTCTTCAAAGTTAAGCTATCTTCTACTAACCGAATTAAACTAACAAATATATCCTAATAATTAAAATAAACTCCTAAGGCCTAAAATAAGAAAAACTCTTTCAAGTGAAAGGTAAAAACTCATAGGCAAAAATCTAAAATAAGCAATAACCATCTCAATACGTATCATACTCCCCCTCTTGAAAAAAAACTTGTCCTCAAGTTTCGTCCTCAAAGCAAGGGATTAAGTCAGGAGAAGTAAGAGTAGCACAAACACCATTCCCTAGAAGAACCTTGTACGCTTCATATCCTATTTTCTCAACAATGTCAAATGGTCCCTCATCCATTGGCTCACCATTCTTGTGATCCATATGCAACCGTTGAGCACCTAAGGATAACCATACCTTAGACCCTTCACGCAAATTAGTGCCACGACGCATATGTACAACTTGATCTCGCCTTTCCTTCTTGTTAGTTGCAGTTTCTAGAAGCTCCTCTTGACAAGAAGAGTAGCAAACATGCATGTTGGTCACCTTGGACAACATTAGGCGCCTTTTGTAGATGGTTAGGGGGAAGAGGTTTCAAGCAAATGCGTTTTTGATTAACCAACACCGAATAGATGTTCTCTCTCCCATCATGCATAACATTTCGATCACTTTGCCAAGGTCGTCCAAGGAGTACATCACAATCAGTCATAGGTATTGCATCACACCAAAGTTCATCTTGATAGCCACCAATGCGAAATCCCACCAAGGCTTGCTTCTTGACCCACACACTACCATCGTCATTGAACCATGACAGGCTTAAGTCGTATCACCTAATCAAAAATAATAACCTAAGTCCTCTAACTAAAGTAGATAGGGAAGTAGGGTCGAATCCATAGGGAAACAGTGTTCTTTTACTCCTAATTAATTATTATAATCTAAATTACAGAGTAACCAATTTGAATTTGTAGGAATTAAACTAATAAAGAAGCTAAACAAATAAATCTAAGGAGATAATCAATAATAAAAGCTCCAGGGTATAGGTTCACCAATAAATAATACTCCAGGGTAAAACATACGATCAAATATCAATGCATAAATTAACCAGATTATAAAGGGTTGTCGCTACGTATTATAATCACATGATTAATCTACTGGTATTAAATCTCATCTCTCGAATCTCGACCTAACCATTAATAGATTAACATGCCTATTGAAACTAAGCCTAAACATCAATTCTCATCTGTCGAATCTCGAATCAACATTGCAAAACTCATACAATTAAACCTGCGCAAATCTAATTGCATAGCATTAAATCAATCAATAGGAAATCAACCAATCATCAATAATAAATAATAATAAATTACCCCTTCGTATTATTCATGGATCCCCATAACCTTAGAATTAAACTACTCACACATACTTAATATTAAACTAGGCAAAGCAATTAAAGAAAGCATAATTAAATCAAAACAATGGAGTTACTGAAAGTAAAGAGGGAAGAAATCGTTACCAAAATTAAAGGGAATAATTAATTGCATAAATCAAGAGCGTGTATAGAGATAAAGTGTAGAGAGAGAAAGTAAGAGGGAGAGAGAAAGAAAAGTCGTCCGTGTCAAAGACGCCCCTAAACTCACTTAACAAAAGCGTATTTATACTAAATTAAAAAACTAAATCAAAGAAAAAGTTAAAACAAAATAAAAATCCTAATGTAAACACGCCCGGTCGGGCGAGGCATCGCCCGGCCGGGCGCGCCTTTTTCACACTTAAAGCCTTGCTCGCGCCCGGTCGGGCGCGCATCCGGGCGAACCTTCGCCCTATGGTCTTCTCCTCTCGCCCGGCCGGGCGCGCCTCAGGGCGAGGGCACTGCCCGGTCGGTGGATGCTTGGGCTTACTCTTCTTCGTCCTTTGGGCCTTGTTACCTTAGCCCAATTGTCATCCTTCTTAAATCGAATTTCCCAAGCTCCAAATCTCCTCATTGAGCCCTTAATCACCGGATTGAATCGTCAATTATGGTCTTGGGCTTCGAAACACGATCATATAAATACGTTTCAACTCCAATACTCACGGTGGCTCCACTAAATGCCGAGAAATGCACCAAATCTGCAATTTCCTGTAAAATAATGCCACAACTACGAAAACACTAGAA